TACTTATAGCTGATTCATGTTGTTATATGGCAGAAACCAACACAACATTGTAAAGCAATTATCCTCTAATCAAAAACAAAACAAAGCAAAAAGATTTCAGTGAAGGAAATAACTGCAGATGTGGTGGAAATAGCAAGAGAATCAGAAACAGAAGTAGAGCCTGAAGATGTGACCGAGTTGCTGCAATCTCATGATAAAACTTTCATGAATGCCGAGTTGCTTCTTATGGTTGAGCAAAGAAAGTGATTTCTTGAGATGGAATCTACTCCTGGTGAAGATGCCATGGAGACTGTTGAGATGACAAGGATTTAAAATATGACAAAAACTTAGCCGGTAAAGCAATAGCAGGACTTGAGAGGACTGACTCCAGTTTTAAAGGAAGTTCTTGCTATTAAACAGTACTGCATGCTACCAAGCAATTTCTTTGTGAAAGGAAATCAGTTGATGCAGCAAACTTCACTGTTGTCTTATTTTAAGTCGTCACAGCCACCGTTCAGCAACCACCACTCTGATCAGTCAGCAGCCATCAATACCTAGGCTAGACTCTCCACCAACAAAAAGAATACTTAATGAAGGCTCAGATGATGGCTAGCATTTTAACAATAAAGTATTTTTTTAAGCAATAAATTGTGGTATCCTACATGAAAATAAAAGGTACAAAACGTCTTATTTCAACATAAAAACTATTTTTTCTGGAGTGCATCTTGATCTGGGAAAAGGATAGATGTTGGAAGAAAAAATAAGAAAAGAAAAGGCAACCCATTATTTAGTCCTATGCTGTTGAGCAGGGGATGACTTCAATGAAGTATTTTTCACTTAAAAGTATGCATATTGTTTTCTTAGACATAATGCCATTGCACAATTAATAGATTACAATATAGTGTAAACAGAGCTTTTGTATGTACGGGGAAACCAAAGAATTCATATGACTTGAATTATTGCAATATTCACTTTACTGAGGTGCTCTGGAACTAAACCTTCAATAACTCCGAGCTATGGCCTTACTTCTGAATGTGACTGTATTTGGAGACAGGGCTTCTAAAAAGGCAATTAAGGTAAAATGGGGTCATATGTGTGGGCCCTAATTCAACATCACCAGTGTCCTCATAAGAAGAGAAGATTAGGACATGTGCACGTTCATAATGAACAGGCTCTGTGAGGACAGAGCCAGTGACGGCCACCTGTAAGTCAAGCAGAGAGGCTTCAGAATGAAACCAACCCTGCTGAAACATTAACCTTGGACCTCTAGCCTCCAAAACCGTGAGAAAATATATTTCTCTTGTTTAATCCACATGATGTGTGGTATTTTTTATGGTAGCCCTAGCTTTGCCAACAAAGGTCTGTATAGTCAAAGCTATGGTTTTTCTAGTAGTCAGGTACGGATGTGAGAGTTGGACTGTAAAGAAGGCTGAGTGCCAAAAAACTGATGCTTTCAAATTATGGTGCTGGAAAAGATGCTTGAGAATCCCTTGAACTGCAAGATCAAACCAGTCAATCCTAAAAGAAATCAACAATGAATATTCACTGGAAGGACCGATGCTGAAGTTGAAGCTCCAATACTTTGGCCACCTGATGCAAAGGGCTCACTCATTGGGAAAGACCCTGATGCTGGGAAAGACTGAGGGCACAAGGATTATGGGGGTGACGACAGAGGATGAGCTGGTTGGATGGTATCACCGATTCAATGGACATGAGTTTGAGCAAACTCCGGGAGATGGTGAAGGACAGGGGAGCCTGGAATACTATAGTCCATGGGGTTGCACACAACTTAGTGATTGAATGACAAGCAAATTAATACAAATAGAAGCTAGATTATACCGGGGGTGGGGTAGGGGGGCAATGGGACCTAAAGGGTCTAACAGCTTTGAATTTAAAATGTTAATCTATTCCTCTGGTTTCAGTCCTTCCACTTGCTCCCACCTTTAATGACAATTAGAAATTTGATTTTCTATGTCTTTATGAGGTTCTACAGTCTAAACCGTCTTGATCCTGCCTACAGATGCTCTGGTTCATCTTTCTCAGTTCAGCTAAATCAGTTTCTACTCCTTCAGTCACTTTCCACATTTTTTCCACCTTCCAAATTATGTTATCTTGAACCATCTCATCTCCTCTCTTATTCTTCCATCAATGGGACTTCAGGAAGAAGTAGAGATAAAGATATGTATTCAATGCAGTATGTTTTAACAGGCCCACGCTTTCTGTTGAAGAGTTACCAATGACCAGTCTAAGAAACAGAAACCTTCATTACCCTGGAGGAGATGTGCTACTTCAGACTACTAGCTGAAGTCCACACTACTAGTTCCAGAGTATTCATGGAAACAGTAAGTGTCAATGCAAATATACATATCCATACAACTATGAAAAATAGAAGTGGCCCCTAACAGTAAGAAAAGTGCCATTTAAGGCTTAGTTGGTTAAGTGATATATTCCTATGTCGATTTCAAATACAGACACCCAGGTACATTTCATTCTTTACAAGGTTACTTCCTGGGGATAAAAGCCAAACAAAAAAACAGTATTTTTATAGTGTGAAGCAACCTAAGAGATACCACCAGTCATCTACCATAGTAGATTCAACGTGCTTTAGTGGCTCTGTATATGACATGCAGTGGGTGAAAAGCAGCAAGCAGATTCAATTGATGGGTTCCTAGAAACCTGGTATTTCTAGGATCTTATCTGGTGGTCCAGTGATTAAAAACCACCTTCCATGCAGGTGACACAGGTTCGATCCCTGGTCTGGGAACTAAGATCCTACATACTGCGGGGCAACTAAGTCCATGTGCTACAACTAAGACCTGATGCAGCCAAATAGATAAATATAATATATATATTAATATATATATATAAATTATACATATGTATATACATATAATTTAAAAACAAACTTGGTATTTCTGCCCAGATGTCACAGAAGCGGCATTCTTCTCCCCACATCTCATTGTAAGAGATTGAACATTTGATGGCTGTTCTTCTCACTGCCTGGAGTCTTAGGTAGTGGGGTTTTAATACATCATATATCTAAACTGACTTGTCTTCACTCAAGGCACTATAGGGATGAGTTGGTTATGAGGTAGCACCTACTGATTTTTGCGGAGTCAAAAGGACTGAGGGAAAAAAAAGACATAATAAAGTGACAATTTGGTATCAAATACTAAAGTTTTAATTTACGAAAATGGCATTGGCCATTATAATAGATGCTAAAAATCACCATTAAAATGATAATAGAAGTAAACATTAAAATGATACTAGGAGTTTTTCTCCCCTAGAAATTTAACTAAAACTTTAACTCATAAATGAAATAATTTAGTTTAAAAACACTAGCTTTTTCTTATCACTCGCTTTTTACATGAGAATTTGCTTTGTTGCTGCCACATAAAAAGACATCAAACACTAACCTGTGCTGAAATTCCTAAAGGTATGACAAATAGTGTAGCAGATCACAGGCTGTTTTAAAAAATGCACTAACTGCTCCAATTGAGAATAATAGTCAACCATTATATAAACAGTCACTAGATTAGGAATAAAATAATCCAGACAGGCAAAATCGACTGCCTACCCCATGGTTGCTGCAAGTTGCTGGAAAACTCCAAATACAGCATAATTTACAAGATGGTTTTCAATGGCTAGTGAGGGGCTACTTCCTCCCGTCAGCATTCAGTACTGATGCGTTTCAAACTCTAACCTACATCAGAATCACCTGGAGGACTTGCTAGACACACAGACGAGTTTCTTGAGGCCTGGGGTGAGTTGGCGAATTTGCATTTTTTACAAGCTCCCAGGTAATCTGATGTTGATGGTCTGTCCAGGGACCACACATTGGGAACAACTGCTGCACTTAAGAGTTTATGGAGAAAGATGTTTGAGAAAGAGAGAGAAGTACGTTCTCATGTTGGGTGTGGCAAGGTTTCTAGTCACTTAGAACTATTTTGCCAACAGAATCAAAACAATTGGGTAACCTGGGGCTTCCTTGGTGGCTCACTGTAAAGAATATCTGCCTGCCAATGCAGGAGACATGGGTTTGACCCCTGGTCTCGGAAGATTCCACATGCCTTGAAGCAACTAAGCTTGAGCACCACAACTTGAGCCTGTACTCCAGAGCCCAGGAGCTGCAGCTACTGAGCCCGCACATGGGAATTACTGAAGCCCGTGTGCCCTAGAGCCTGTGTTCCTCAACAAGAGAAGCCGCCGCAGTGAGAAGTCCAAGCACTGCAGCAAAGAGTAGGTAGCCCCCAGCCCAGCCCCTGCAACTAGAGAAAATCCCGTGCAGCAGTGAAGAGCCAGCACAGTCAAAAATAAGTAAATAAATAAATAGTATACATATGGCTGAGTCCCTTCACTGTTCACCTAAAACTATCACAACATTGCTAACAGTCTATACCCCAATATTAATACAAAATAAAAAGTTTAAAATAAATAAAAATTAAAAAAAACTTCAATCGGGTAACAGAGTTAACTTCATTGTTGATGATTTTAAATTGTTCACGAGGACCTTCTCCTTCATGAATCTAGCCAAACAATATAGCAGTGGGTAGTCCAACAGGGCATACTAAGCAAGGCAGTCAAGGCTGAGTTATTAGATATTGGTGAGAAAGATGGGCATCTTGGGCACCATTGACCAAAAAAAGGCATGGTTTGCTCATAAACTCTAGTTTTGTTTGCACAAACAAATTTGGGAGAGTTGGGTAAAAGTTTTTGGATGGTTTTGGAAATGGCTTCAGATTACAGATGGCAGATTGACCCATGCTTGTTTAGGTTCATTGTCTCCTGAAAAGGACAGTAAAGGAAAGTAAGAAGATAAATTCACAGGGACAAAGAGGATGGGGCTGGAGTCATCTGCAAAAGATATATCTCAGCACAATTCTGGAAGATGGGGATGAATGGAAGAGTGGAAACTGGCTTAACAGAACATCAGAAGCTACTCTAATGACATCCTAGAAGTCAGTATAGAAACAGCCCAAGAGATTATTCTATAAAACACCAGATTGGACCAGGTCTTGGAGATGCCAGAGATCATGAGAGAGATGCTGAGGAGAGGTCACAGGATATCAGAAGTGAGAGAGGTGAGAGGCTGAGAGCTGAGTGAATGTGGATATTTGGACTTGTTAGATCCTCAGGTCCCCTGTCCCACTTCCTGCAGCCAGATGATTACAATGACAGGGGCTTCCCCGGTAGCTCAGACGGTAAAGCGTCTGCCTGCAATGAGGGAGCCCCGGGTTTCATCCCTGGGTCGGGAAGATCCACTGGAGAAGGAAATGGCAACCCCCTCCAGTATTCTTGCCTGGAAAATCCCATGGACTGAATCTTGGTAGGCTACAGTCTATGGGGTCACAAAGAGTGGGCCACGACTGAGCGACTTCACTTCACTTCACTTCAGGAAATACAGGAGAGGCTTGTGCATCTGGCGGAAAGAAGGGCAGGACTAAAGCACCTACAGGAAAGAAAGAAACTGCATACTGAGTAGGGACTGCTCTGGATCTCTTCTGACCTGTTCTGAGAATATCAGCAGCCAGGAGAATGTGCCCTCAGCCAAGGGATGGCAGATATTTCTCTTGAGATGCTGAAGAGCCCAGAAAAAAAGACATCTAGTTTCTGATATTTGGGGAATCTTCCTAAGGAAAGACGAACACGATCACCACACAGCAAGCCCATCAGTGAGCAATAACACTTCCTCCCACCCCTATGTGTAGTTTCCAGAGGGGTTTTAAGATCTCATTCTTAAGTATGAAGCGACAGTCGAACGTTTGCAAACATTTGATGAAAGCTTCCAACATACTGAAATTTCAGAATATTAGGTAACATAATTATGAAATCTCAGAATATCAGAGATAGATTATTCTATGAGTTTTTAGGAAGAAAAATTCTAGGTCACAAAGGAATGGGACTCAGGATGGCATCAGAATTCTAAATGGCAACATTGCTAGAAGATAAAAGAGAAATTTTTATGAACGAAAGATAAAAGAGAGATTTTTATGAACGAAAAACTTCAACTTAGAATTTGACACTTGGTCAAACTCTTTCAAAAGAAAGAGTTGGGAAAAAAAAAGAAAGTTGAATAAGTTTTACCTTCTGAACCCATTCTTGGGCTACTACTGAAACATATGCCATGGCAAAAATGAAGCAGCAAACCAAGCAAAAAGTCACAGGACAGAGAAATGGGGCTCTTACTCTGGAGATCAAGGATTGTCCCAAGATGACAACTGAGTAGCAGGTCCAGAGAGGAGCTCATCTCCATTGGAACAGAAAGGCAGTGGACTTTTGGAAGGATATTTGGGGGTATGGGGGGTAGGACTGATTGATCATTTGAAAAATAAATGTGACAGTCATTTGATAGACATGTTGTAGAAAAAAAATATCAGATGGGAAACATCACAAACTAAGTAAATAGATAAAAGCTTTTTTTAAAAAATAAGAAAACAAGCATAGTACAGTAGTTGGTTCTGTTGTCACTAGTATTTGCACAGTCACTGGGCTTCCCTTGTAGCTCACTGGGTAAAGAATCTGCCTGCAGTGCAGGAGACCTGGGTTCGATCCCTGGGTTGGGAAGATCCCCTGGAGAAGGAAATGGCAACCCACTCCAGTATCCTTGCCTGGAAAATCTCATGGACAGAGGAGCCTGGTGGGCTGCAGTCCATGGGGTTGCAAACAGTAGGGCATGACTAAGCAACTAACACTTACACCTACTTGACTACTTGCTATGCCTAAGCTGTGAAAGAGATACATTGGAAGAATGGAGGAAGATGAAACTGGACAGGGCTTGAAAGAGCTAAGTCCTTATCTAAGGCAACAGGTCATCAAAGCACCTGTTATCAAAATTGATAAATCAAGGGATCACTGCACAAATTATTAGAAATAGGAAGGTAATGACAGAATGGACTGCTAAAAGTGGAATTTGGTAGCCTCTAGACAGGAGGTTAAGAAGGTACATGTAAGTAGGATTTGCATTACCTTAAAGTACTGTATTATCTTACAAACGATAGTGTGCGTGCTTATACTGTATTTAAAAAGAAAAAAATCCTGAAATTCATTTGTTGAGAATGAAACATGGAGCAGCCAAACCTTGCCTCACAATGTCATGTGCAGGAAATATATGATCCATACAGATTAAAATGGAAGTTATTTCATCTCTGCCAACGTAGTATTAACTCGAAATAAATTATGATAAAATTTCCATGCCCTCTCTATTTCTACAATTAATACGCATGGGCTAGATTACTGTCAGAATTTACACAAGTACTCATTGTTATAAATTACAGTTTTGCAAATTTGCTGCTCTCAACCAGGGGCAACAAAACTGCAAAAAGTCAGTTTCATCCTGAATTGTTTCCGTAGCAACCATATTAAGCTGGAAGGATAAAGCACCTTTGTAGTTGCTGCTTCTATTGAATTACAATGTAAATGTTGATGCCTGCCTGGAAACGTCAAATGACAAAAGGTTTATGGAAGGGATTCAGTGATTTGCAGCTCTGCAATCCTGGGCTGCAGAATTGAGATGGAAGAGGTGTGCCTGAGCCATTTGAGTGTCTGTTCAACCAAATTTCTTCATCCCATCAAAACCAGCCACTCCCTACCCGCCGAGGTCAAGAAAGGATGCTGCTGCTGTTCAGTAGCTAAGTCGTGTCTGCTAATCTATTTATGTCTAGCCGTCTACCATATCTTTTGCACATTGGGACATGACATGTTGTTTGTTGTGGATAAGAATGTTAAAAATGCAATTACGTAACAGACTTGGCGATCTTCGTGCTTTTCGCCCCCTCGGAGCACAACGTAAACTTGAGTCCCCTACTCTTCTGACACTGTCCAATAGTGTCCTCTTAATGTGGGTATTAAAAGCCTCGTGGTTGTGCTGCGCATTTGATTCCGGTTGGCTTGGGACACCCGAGTTCAGCGCTCCTTAGTCCTTCCGTTCGACCCACAATCCCTAGTGGTAGCAGGTGTTGGGTTTGTTTGTTTTTTCCTGGTTAACTTCTCTCCTTCAAGGCCCCCCAACCCCTCACCCCAGGCCGGCCTCCGGGAAGAAGGGAAACGTAGCACGAAGTCTGCTCCAAACACCGACCCTCAGCTCCCACGGCCCGCCGCCGGGCTGCAAGCGTGCCGCCGCTCCACTCAGGTAAACTTCGGAGTGAGTTACCTGCACTTGGAGAAGGGCCTTACCTGAGCGCGCCTCTGCCAATGGCAGCTCACCTGAGGGAGCTCCGCAGCCAATCACCGCGCAGCTCGTCCCTCGGGCTCGTACCCTTTAGTGAAAGAATTCAGCTCCTTGCGAGAAAGTTACCTGTGGCCGCCTAAGTCCGCCACTTTCTGCTCTGTGGCTGCCCACTGCCACGATCCGGGAGGGACTCCGCGCCGCCCGGCCGCCTCCGAGCTCGGGCCCCATGTGAGGGGGCCCCCCCCTTATCCCACCTTTCCGGCTAGGTGAGGGCGCGAGCAGGCGAGCGAGCGAGAGTGGTGAGGGGGGACGGAAAAGCAGAATTACCTGTAGCTCTTGTTCTGCCATCTCGGGCGCTCTCACACACCTTCACCTGCACAGACTTGAAAGTCCAGTTTCACCAGAGGCTGAGGCTCCAGGAAAAGGGGAGCGAGTTCATTGGATCAAACATGTCACAAGAGTCGGACAAGTAAGTGGATCACACGCGCCGGCTGCTGCTACTACCACTTTGGGCTGATGGCAACTGGTTTGTTATTTTTTTTTTTTAAGTTGCTATTGTTGGTAATTTTTTTTTTTCCCCTTTCTTTTTCTTTTTGGTGTATCCAGACTTTTCCAGATTATGTTTCTACCCTGGTTAAGGGGAGAAACCCTGCAAGAATGTGAATGTTTAATATCCCCTTTGGGCCTTGATAGTAAAAGTAGGTTTTCCTCTTTCCTTCCTCCCTTTATGAAAGATCTCAGCCCCGGTCTCCCAGGACGAATCCTCGGATATTGGCAGAGGTTTCGGTAGAAGAGGGCGGGAGGCCTCTTAGTCCCCCTCTCTTTTAGTTGTTCCCACCGCTTCGGGCTCCGAGGGCCATTTGGAAAATTCAGCTGCGTTCCTTCCATTTGCCCAAAGGGCCTGCTGGAAAAGCGGGTCTTGGCGGCTTTTGTGTGAGCGCAACAAAGAGCCTTTATCCTGAAAGCAGAAACGGCCATCTTCCCGCACCAGGCCGGACGGTGTGCGTGTGTGCGCCCCCGACGGGAGGCCAGGCGCCGGCCGGCCGGGGCCTCGGGGGCCAGCGGCGCCGAACCCACCCCCGTTTCCGGGCCTCCCCGCGCCTCCTGCCCGCCCCCGCATTGTCTGGCCACCTAACGCAGGTGCGGGAGGACGGGGGCCTTTCGAAATGAGGGGGATCGATTTGACGCCAGAGTTTGTGCCACGGTTGGGCGCGAAGGGGCGCGTGCGACTTATGGAGTCACCCCCGCGCCCGGCCGGCCTCCGCCGCCCCGACGGCCTGGGCGCCGCGCGCTGGAGGCCACCACCTCGGGCGTGGCTAGCGGGACGGCGCGAGTGCGCCTGGCCTCCCCGGGGGACTGTCGCCTGAAAAGGAGGGGAGCCCGGCTTCCCGGGCCTCCTAAGGCCAGCCGGGGGGCGCGTCCGCCCCGTCCGGGACGGGAACTCGAGACGCGCCGGGGCAAGGCGGCCGGAGCCGCGGGGCGCCGGGCCTGGGTCCAGTCTCGTCCGGGCAGCCTCCCAGCAGGCCTGGCCCCCGCCTCCGGGCCGGCTTTGTGCAGGCTGGGGGAGGTGGGGCCGAGGGCGGGAGCGAGGGGGAGCCGGAGGTGGGTCCCGCGGCCTTTCCTGGGATTCGGTGGCGACACTCCCTTCCCCCTCCTGTCGGGCGCGTCCCCGGCTGGGAACGGGCTGCGTCCTATTGGAGTGCGCAGGGCCACCTTCCCGCCTTGCCCGGTCGCTTTATCTCGGCGGTGTGGCCACTCCAAGGAGACCTTCCTCAGGGCGCTTCTCCTGGCCAGGTGGCCGTGGACCTTCTCGGATTGAGGGACCTTGAGGGGGGAGCGCGAATGCCCCGCGGACCGATCCAGGGATGGAAGGGACAGTCCCCAAAGTTAAGCCCCGGGTAGGGTAGGCGTCGGACACGACTGGAGCGACTTAGCAGCAGCAGCAGCAGCAGGGTAGGCGTAGTTAACATCACAGGCTAGCATATTAAAAAAAAACTAGGTATTAGTACCACTTTACTCACTAGTGAAAAATGAGCTGCTGCGACTATATACACCGGAGGGATGGACCTAGTTGCAAACGACGAGAAGAGGGCGGGAGAAGGGTAGGACTGGGGACGTGATTGAGTGTATCCTTGTTTCCTCCCCCTAAATTCTCTCTAACCTTTAAGATCTCACTACTTCGAGTTTGAAAGCTTCAGTAACCAAAAGCCGAGATAGCAGTAGGGTTTTTTGTTTGTTTGTTTGTTTTGTTTTCATCTTCTTGTCAAAAATGGTCGCAAATCTAGTCAATATTAGATAAGACTTACTGTAATTCCTTAATTAAACCATATAACGTTGGTCGCACCCCTTCGTTTTGTGATACAATGAATGCTCATGAATTGTGATACTTATGAATTTAGGGTGAAATCAGATGGGCTTATATTTTAACCGGTTGTACTTAGCACCAATAATGATAATTTATTTAGTACTGAAGTTCTAATATAGTACTTAGTTCTAATATAGTCAACAATGTTCTGTTAACTTTGGTGATGGGACAGTAACTACATTTATTGTGTGGATTTTTTTTCTTTTTTTTTATTGTGTGGATAATTTTGTAATGTATTAGTCCACAGGATTCCCAGGTTGCTCAGTGGTAAAGAGTCTGGGTGCCAATGCGGGAGACTCAGGAGACATGGGTTCAGTCCCTAGGTAGGGAAGATCCTCTGAAGGAGGAAATGGCAACTCGCTCCAGTTTTCTTGCCTGTAAAATTCTATGGACAGAGGAGCCTGATGGGCTACAGTCCATGGAGTAGCAAAGACACAACTTAGCCACTGAGCGTGCAGTATATAGACATCAAATCACTATGTTGTGTGCTTGAAACTAATACCATATCGACTGAATTATGCGTCAATTAAAAATAAATTTAAAGAAAGATAATAAGTTCAGAACATTAACAATCTGGTTCAGTGTGATACATTACCAAATTTATATAGCTAAAACTATCTGGGGTTATGTATACTTACATTTAGTGAAAGTAACTTTTATCAAGTCATGGTTTCCAAGACTTCATTTTGTTTCCAGGGAAAAGAAATACTAACAATACCCCAAAGAGACTGTTGAACCCCATTCGCCTCTCTTTGCTGGGACTATGGAGAAATGCTTGACATTAAAAAATGATTTTTGGATCATTTTTGCAGATTCTAGCCTAGTTTTCTTAATGTTAATATTCTAATGGAGGGCTGTCAGGATGGGTCCAGGTTTTTATGAGCTTGAAGCTTATGCAATTGTGTGTGTTAGGTAGAGTAGGGTGAGGTCTCAAAAGGAAAAAAAAAAAACACCCACACAAATGAGCCTGTTTTCTGGAGCTTCCTGCCAGTACAAACGGGGATCCTGAAGCTTGAACTTTATCAGCTTCACCGTAAATCTGTGTAGGAGGCCTGTCTGTATTTTCTGGAACTAACCTAAAAGAATACACACAGGATTTTTTTTTTTTCTTTTCTTTTCTATAAACCCATCAAAGTGTAGGTAAGCTTTTGGATAGCACATGAAGATAATTCCAGTTAGCAAGTCTGGACTGAAGTAGCATCATCTTTTTTTATAGCTGTGAACTTTTCAGATGGAAACGATCTGCTTTTTATGTTCTGCAATGTTGATGCTATCGCTATTTAAAACAAAGTATTTTTAGGACAGTTTGTCTTTGTACATATTTAAAATTTTTCTACTCCCCCTTTCTAACATTTTATGAAGATTTATGGTCTTTGTCAACAAGCATGTATGTTCTAGCAGCACAGTGACGGATTTAGAAACTCTTACATTACTGCCAAAATATTCAGAATATATATGATTTATTTGAAACCCACAGGTGTTTTTCATTACCTTTATGTGTTTTCTGATTACTTACAATTGCAACACATTCAGATAAGTATATAGGAGAATAAAAAGATATATAATGTGGGCTATGTCCACAAGGGACTTACACAATCCAGCAGAAGATGAGACTTGAACAGATTATATAAGTCCCCCTTCTCTCTACCCACCCCACTTTAGCCTTAGGGCAATTACCTTTAGTCATTTGGTGCATTTTATCTAGGGAGTCCAGTCATAATTCTAGAAAGAAAAATAAACAAATTTATAGATGCCTTATTTGGGTAATCTTTCAATTAATGGGGTGAAACATTTTAATTAATCTTTTTACTCTGGTTTTATAAATGTATATGTTTCTATTTGGCTGTATACTTTCTTTTGACCATGCCACAAGGCTTGCAGGATCTTAGTTCCCTGATTAGGGATAGAACCTGGGCAAGGGCCGTGACAATGCAGAGTCCTAACCACTGGATTGCCAGGGAATTCCCTAAAATATCTTTTAAGATCACAAACACCGAGTTAACCATATCTTCCTCAAAGCACTAAAAATACCCATTCATTTATTCAACAAATATATCTTGAGTGCCACTATATACTGAACAATGCCATTGATCTTGGCATTGAGATTCATTAGCAAATAGAACAAATTCCCTGCCATCATGGTGCTACCATTGTAGTGTCAGGAAACAGAGGAAATCTATAAAGAAGTAAATGCACAACAAGTTAGATGATGATAAATGCTACAAAGGAAAGCAAAGCAGGCTAAAGGGATTTAGCAAATAATAGGAATTATGTTATATAAGGTGGTCAGGGATGGCCTTTCTGATGAGATGACTTTTGAGCAGACAGCTAAAGTGAGGGCTCAAGCACTGAAGATTCTTGGGATAAGAATGTTATAGGCAGATGGGAGAGCAAGTGCAAAGGCCCTGAGATGGGAGAATGCTTAGCATATTCTAGGATCAGAAAGGAGCCCAGTGTGGGTGAATCAGAGATGTAGACAGACAGCGGTCCCATTAAGTAAACTAACATAATCAGCTCTCTACTTAATAGTCCAGACACTTGTGCACTCAAAACCAGACAACACTATACTTATAAATGGTCTTGGCAGTCAAGAGGGTAGTAAATAAAGAATTAGCCAATAGTGTCAGTCTTGTTTCTTTCCTCAGACATCACTAGTTTAATGGCTAGAGTCCAGTGTTAATCTTCCCTGCAATGGATTAAATCTTGTACATGTCTTAATTTAGGGATGAAAAAAATGTACACGTTCTGGATGACCCCGGGGAATTAGAACTGAAGGAGAGGGACCTGCAAGGTATTGCTCTGACACTCCTGTCTAAACCTCTTATTTTAAGTTGCCACCCTTCCTGGCTGTCTCAATCCTAAATTGTGTGTGTGTGTTAGTCATTTATTTGTGTCCAACTCTTTGTGACCCTGTGGACTGTAGCCTGCCAGGCTCCTCTGTCCATGGGATTCTCCAGGCAAGAGTACTGGAGTGGATTGCCATTTCCTTCTCCAGGAATCTTCCTGAGCCAGGAATCGAACCCTGGTCTCCTGCACTGCAGGCAGATTCTTTATCATCTGCGCTATAGAGAAGTCCCAATCCCAAATTAATCTCCAGCAAAATAGGCTTGCCCTTTCTCTTGCCCTCATTCAATTTCTGCAAACCTGTATCTGTCAGTAAACAGACTGGTCCATTGTGTTCTAACGTGAGACACTGCAAACAGTGTGCTTTCCTTAGTTTTGCATCTTCAGTGAAATAAACCAATATGCAGGCAAAATTAACCTACCTGAAATAAACTATATACAGGCAAAATTAACCTACCTGAAAAATAAGAAACTGCTAGACAATAATATGAAAGTCAAGATTGATTGGGGAAAAAAGGTTGAAGATAATCATGTATGTGCTTAGTAATAGGAATGTCAGTAGGAATTCTTTAAATCACTGCAAACTCATCTGATTACAAAAATATTGCCTGAGGCACTTGGTAAAACTACATTCCATGTGCCCCACCTCAGAGCTGTGGAGGAGAGGGGCCAGGGCATCTACATTGGATTATTTAGCAAACTCATGCTTTAAGTGAATACTTTAATAAATTCAATTCATAAGCAACTTTTCAGGTGTATATTTGCTTTTGTGAAATGAAGTCTGTGGGCTTTGTTTTACCTTCAGTATTACTGCTTCTAAATGATTAGCTTCTGACATTTTTAACTTGGCTTTAAGAGTTTTTTGGAGAAGGAAATGGCAACCCACTCCATTATTCTTGCCTGGAAAATCCCATGGACGGAAGAGCCTGTGTAGGCCACAGCTGGACATGACTGAGCGACTTCTCTTACTTTCTCTTTTCTAAGAGTTCTTCACTAAGAGTTCTTAGGCCTTCTCTCAATGTCATTTACTTTCATTGTTTTGCTGAACTGTCCCTTCTGGAAGAATGGGATCCTTTGGACAGGTCATAAATTTCCAGATCTGCTAAACACCTGATTTGGAGTGATGTCACCACACGGGGGCTTCTGCCAGACCCAGAGCTAAAAGGTCAAGCTCAGATTTTAGGCTGGATCCCACTCAGTAGGGAACTGAGTTGGAGTTAGAAGGCCAACCTCATCCTTCCATAATTTCACATTAGAGCATAAGATTGGTGTTCATTTTTCTGGGCACAGTTATTTCATTAAAATTAGGTTCTATTTTATAGCACAAAATCAAAGATAACAAATTCTGATCTGTATGATCTGATGTTGGTCCTTGGTGAAATATTTAATGGGATGGTGGTTGCAGTTTCATTTCTAGGGCTGCTTTAAGTATTTAAGTAGGCTGCTTTAAGATGGTAGCTTTAAGTATTACCTTGATAAGATGGCACTAGGCCCTCTGTTGATCTGTAATTAGATCCTATTTTAAACTGACTGCAGAGACTAGGTCACTCAAATGCACCCGGTGCCATCTGATTTAAAGGAGGATTAAAAGTCAGTACTAGAGCAGTGCT